GTGTGAAAAATGGCTCATTTGATAGCTTAAAATCATAATTTTTATTGATAATATTTTAATAAGAAATCCTTTCGCCATTATTTTCAATGACCAGTTCACATCTCGATTTCATTGAATGAATTAAACTAATTAGAAGTGAATTAGGAATTGCATCCCACTCCTCAGCCATAAACTGCACCAATTCTGCCAGATTTTTTGGCATTCTCTTCTCCACATTCCTCTTAACAATAGCCCACAAATTTTCTATTGGGTTTAAATCAGGACTGTTGGATGGCCAATCCATAACTTCAGGAAAGTTTTCTTGAAGAAATGTTTTGGCTCAGCGGCTTGTATGTTTGAGATCATTATCCTGTTGAAACTGCCAATCATCCTCTAACATTCTTTGGATCTCTGGGCGATGATCCTCCAATATTTCAACATAAAATTCTGCATTCATAATTTCTCGGAAGCAAAAAAGACTGGTCTTTCCATGGATTCAAAAGCCACCCCAAGCAAAAATTTTGGTGCGATCTTTTGGCATTGGGCAAATGGGTCTTACATTCTTATACCACCTTTCAATTGTGTTTCGGTAAAGCTGGAAAGCTGTCTCATCCAAAAATAGGGTTTTCCCCCAATTATCATTAAGATGATTTTGTGCCCACTCTACATGATGTTCTTTATGCCTTATTGTTAGCATTAGGGTGGCTCTTGGCAAATTTTTCTTATATCCGATCCCTTCCAAATGCCTTAATACTGTTACATATGAGACCTCTATTCCTTTATTTAACATTTTATTAGCCAAAGACCTCAAAGAAATAGAAGAATCTCTACAAATATATTGTCCGATTGCACATGATGCTTCTGCAGTAATTTTCTTTTTTCTACCATTACCCCCTTTATGTTCCACATTACCATTTTTTTTCAACTTTTCAATATTAAAATAAATAGTTGCAAGTGGGATGTTCGTAATTGACGAGCAGAACATATCCCCTGATTCCAATAATATAATAAGGTTGTATGTTGCTGTTCTTTTGTAGATTGTGTCATTTTATTAGCAAATTACACAAAAATTTTTTATTCGATTTGGTTAAAAGATAAAACAGACTAAATCTAATAAAGAAAGGCTTTGTTTTGAATTTTATTTGATGCGGATCAGACCGTTTTTGGTAAAGTTATTAAAGTTTTTTTTACATCAAAAAATTTCCAAATTTTTTTGTAAGTTAAATCTTTTACAATATTTTGTTCAATAAAATATGCTTATTAATCCTATTTTCTGTAATACTAGCTTATATACTAATTACTAATTACTAATTACTAATTCTATGACTCATTATTACAAATAATTTGATTAATAATTCGAAGTAAATAATTATGTCATAAAATAAGTTAAAAATAGAAATGATGTAATGATCTACATGTGTAACATGACGTGCAACCGTTGCAATAAATATAGAAAGATGATTGTTAATCGTGATGTAATATTCAGCGCATCACATGACTTCCGTAGTAAGTTCGTTATAATTGGTCAATATTAACGGTCAATTGGTTGGTCCACGGTTTACAATCTCACAATACTAAGAGTGCCATTAGGACCTTTTCCTATGATTTTATTTTCATTAAGAACATAATTAATTTGTTCACTTACTGCTTTATCTTAAATACCAAATAAATGAACTTACATGGACTAAGGTAATAGATTTTACTTACTTGTTGATCAGAATGAGGTACATGAACATTTTGGGCTCAATCATAACTATAATGAGCAGTGGCATCAATACTGCAATATGGTATTTTACCCTTTGAATAATTTTGATTAATTAATTTTCTTTGTTCTTCTGCTAATTTAGTGTTTTTATGATAATAATTTCTTTCTAGTTTAGCCTTGGATAGATGTTCTTTAAATCTTTTGAGCAAATTTTTAGCTTCTTCCTCTTGGTGAGTATTATAATGTAAACCATCTCTAAAATGTTGACAAGCATCACACAAATAAGTCCTGGGACTCATAATTTGAATCTCTGGTGTCAATTGATGCCATAATTTTCTGAAAGCATCATACTTCAATGATTTCAAATTACTATCTTCTTCCAGACCAGCTAGAAAATCCCTGTGGACTGATTTATAACTCATTTCAGCTGGTAAGAATACAATTGATTGAGTTATTCTATTGTTACTTCTTCCTGGACTTGGTAATCCATGAACTTCTGCATAATTTTCCAGAAAATTCTTTACTACTTCAGCAACATTTTTATCAATTACCATTTTGGTTTTCCATTGAGGCATTCTTTTAATATTACTATGAATTCTTGGCAGAACACCATTGTTTATCAAATGATTTCTGATATTTTTAAAATAAGTCCTACCAATTCCCAACATATTGAGATAAGTTTCTTGACAAAGTAATATATTGTGATTCCAATGGTAAAAAGTTCTTTTATTAGATCTAGTTTTCTTTTGAGGCATCTGCTGGTGCTTACTGTCCCTCTATCCATTGCTTTAAGTTGGGCCATTAGAAATATGTCTTGTTCTGATTTAGAAAGAGCTTGAAAGGATTCCCTTAATTCTGCAAATTGCTCTTTGGGAATTCTTGAAAAGCAACCACATTTACAACTTTTTTCTAAAAGGTCAATTGCTTTTTGATATTCATTAGAACCATTATATTTATTATTACTTTTCATATATACACTTATCCCTATATATAATTTTATGTTCACTTTGTAGGTTTTTTTAATTATTTAAAATTCTGTGATGACAAATGAAGTGGATGGAATAGAATTAAATTTGGGTGAACTATTATGACACTGACATAAAGGGTGTTACACATGTCATAAAAGGATGTTACACATATTTTTTAATAGTGAGTGTCACAATTAATTTCAACTTTTGACATCAGCAAAACAATTTGGGCTGCATGTATAATCAATAGTCAAAATAAGAAAAGGCGACCTGACAACTCTATTATATTAGATAGTACCAATCAAAAATAATATAAATAAAGTACTGATTTAATCATAGAACATATGTGGCTTTATTTAAAACAATTGATTTTCAAAAAAATTATTTACAATGGAAATAAAAAGATCAATTGTGGATTGTTTTTTTGTTTTTTATGTTTCCAAAAAAGCCTTGGTGATTTTTTTGATGAATTTGATTGCTAAGAAAATTATTCATTAATGTCAATTTGTAAAATAAAGATTCTTCCTTGTACTTTGAAAAAGTCTTAAAAAAAATTTTTTTGACAATTTAAATGGTGCTTTTGAAAAGATCCATCTAATTGATCTGAGGATATCAAATAAAAAAAATTAACAGTCACAAACAACATATATAAAATCAATTTTTTGCTCAAATTTCATATTTTCAACACTACTATCTCTTATTTTTCTTGAATTAAAATTATTGATATTTAAAAATAAATGGTAAAACAATATCTTCAAAATTTCACATTTCTTTTTCCTTAAAAAGTGAAATACAATAATATCAATTAATGTTCATGCAAAAATAATACAATCCATATTAAAAACGAACATTACACACATTGATTCTTGTACAAAATAATCCATTGATTTTGTTTCCAAAATCTTATCTTTCATTCGTATTTTCTCATAGTATAAACAATGTCTGCTGTATTGACCATGGTTATGTTTGTTAAAATTGTCAGTGGCTCTAACACTTTAACTGATATAGTCACAACTAGACTAGATGGTGGTGAATATGGGATTTCCAATACAAAATATTCAATGTCAATGAGTCAAATCTAATTGAAGAAATTCAACAGAATACCATCATGTTTTTTGTGGGAAAATATGCAATTATTTTTTTTATTTTGAATTTTTTGTCTTTAAATGATTAAAAAAAAGCAGCATATTACTTTTGATGTTCCTTGACTTGAGAAAAAGTGTACTGCATGTTCAAGAGCTTGCATTGCATTCTTTTATTTGTAAACTTGTTATTAAAACCCACATCCCGCAAGCATAATGGACACTCATTTTGTGCAACAGTCATTTGTATAATAGTCAGGCGGTTACACAGAGCCCATTGCTTCTGAAACTTCACTAGAATATAGCTGTAGCCTCTCTGAGTCCAGATCATCAGCAAGATCAAAATTATCTCACACTTTTATAATCAAACTTTTGCAAGAACTTTCACCATAACATATGTTGATCATTTTTTGTGATCTGCAACAGTGTCCACTATGCTTATATTAATAATAACAATATTGTTGGTGGAAGTTTAAAAAAATATTATAAGATTTGGTGGACATCAGCCTAAGATCCTTTATCATCAATTGTATGTTTAGAATCATGCTTTATTTTAATTTTAACAGAGCATAATGATCTAATTTCAAATCCAATTAAGAAAATTTTACAGGAATATAATTTTTTTAGTAATGTTTGAACCTTTCCTATATTTTCAAACCAATGAAAGATTCTGTGGTGGTTTTGCAATCAGAAACACAAATCTTGCTGATTGCTATCTACATCTTGTTAAGTTAGCTGTTGCAGTTAAAAGAGTTCTTATCAATATAAATTCTAGCTTTAAAAAATTCTGCATTAATAAATTTAATCTACAATGGAAAGAATTCAATTATTCAGGATATTTTTTAGCATACTTTTTGCATCCAGGTTACAAAGGAATTGGAATTAGATATGGTCAATTTCAAAATATTGCAGAAATTGCAGCAAACTATTGGAAGTCATTGCAAAAATCAAAAAAATCTTGTACAGAATTACTTTCTCAATTGCAGAAATATAGATTATAACAAAAACCTTATAATGCGACATATAATGATCAATATGATAGTCCTCTTTCATGGTGGTATACCTGTGAAAATAATTAGGACCATCTATATACAACAATTAGCAATTAAATTATTTTCAGTTGTTCCACATAGTGCTGGATGTGAACACATTTTTTCATACTTGGGACATCTTTATGGAAAGAATCATTAAAATCTAAATATTGATTCTGTAAACAATATTGCTAAAATCCATTCCTTTTATCTAAGCAATATTAAAAAGAATTAGAATATACTGGTCAAAATTTAACAGAAAAGGATTTAAAAATTATGTTGATTGAAGCAGAAGTTATTTCAGATGATGATGATGAAAGTAATGATGATGAAAGTAATAATTATGAAAGTAATAATTATGTTGATGATGAAATTAATTTGACAGATTTAGAAATTCATGATATTATGGATTTGGAGATTACAGTGTTGATAGCAATGAATTAGATTATGATACATTAGGATTAGTTCAAGAATCAATGAATGAGGATTTATTTTCAGAAATAGTAAATGAAGAAGCATTTCAACAACCAGAAGAAAACCAACAATTATTACATGATTCTACAGGTTTTGAAGAAAGTTGTGAAGCCAATGATGAATATGAAGTGATAATTTCTACTAAAACAAGAAGCAAATACCCAATTAAGCAACATAATCTACAAAATAAAAATGCTTAAAAATTTGTTTTAAATAATTCTATTATTTTTAAAATAAAATTTGAATTTATACTTTCATTAATTTTGACATTTTTTGTCACCTTTGATGCTTTCATCACTTTCATCACTTTCAACAAAAGTACTTATCATTTGCTGAAATACTTTCTACCCTCCAAAATACTTTCGGCACCCAACCTTGATATGTACAAATGCCTGTGTCATGTGATATGATTATATATTATAAAAACGAAAAGTTGGCATGTAACTTTTACTTATTATTTTTCTTATTTAAATTCTTGTCTATCTGGAGAATCATTACCTTGTAACTCCGAGAATAGAATGATCTGTATTTGTTAATATATTATAAAAATTAATGTGTAACTTTTACTTACTATTTTTCCTATTTAAATTCTTGTCTATCTTGAGAATTCATTACTTCGTAACTCTGAGAATAGAATGATCTGTATTCATTTGTTTATATAATAAAAATAACTAGTTTGTTTATATGATAATAAAATAATAATAAATAAATAACTAGTTGCATATTAATATAGAGTATATTAATATGTAAAAACATAATCTTTTGTTTTATGTAAATAAGTGAATTCAATTATCCCAATAATAATGTTAATGTATACATTAAAAAAATAAACAAAGAAATAATAAAAATAATTAATTGCTAATATCAATAAAATAATAATATGAATAAAATATTAATTTTTTTAAATAAATATTTAATATTAATCTGTTAATGACTCATAAAATCTCTTTACTTTGTCATGAACCATTATCTTTTCTCTTGCAAAGTTTAAAACCTGTAAAGATTCCAATGATTTAGCTCGTGACAAAGCAACATATGCCTGCCCTATTTACAAAAAAAAATATAATAATTTTTTTATTTATTTATAATAATAGTTATATTATCATTATTATGAATGTATATATAAATACCTTTTTCAAAAACCTCTTTCAAATCAATCTTGACTCTTTCCAGTGTTTGGCCCTGGCTTTTATGAATACTAATTGCCCAGGCAAGTATAAGAGGAATCTAATATTACATTAAATATATAATAAATACATATATATATTACAAAAAAAAATTTCATGCATACACATAAATACAAAAATACCTACTTGTTGTCTACTTGCTGATACAACATTACCAACAGTTTCTAGTCTCCATTCAGCTTTATGAACAATCAATTTTCTATTTTCAGTAAATTTAACTATTGGCAATATTTCATCTTTCTGGCCAAACTCTACAATCTCATCTTCACCATCATAATAACTTTTTCTAGTATCTTTTGAATAAAAACCAACAATAACACCTCTACTCCCATTAACTAAATCATTATTGATCTTTTTAATAAGCATTACTTGTGCACCCCGTTTTAATTCCAGTTTATCTGGTGCCAAGCAACCTTTAATAAGTGTCTTTAATTGACCAATTTTTTCTGGTTCATAGTCTTTGGCATGATATATATATGGTTTATTTTGAATTTTACTTAAAAACACAAGATTTGCACTAGTTACTTTATCAATTTTTGAGTACCTTGTAATTTAACAAACAAATATTATTATATAAGCATATTATATATATCATGAATATTGATCAACTTACAATTCTGTAACATGAATTCCATCATCAGGATATTGTGGTGGAAGTTTTAATCTATTCATGATTTCCAATGTTTTTTCAGTCACAATGCCCAACCTAATCTCATTTAATATACCAATAAAATCTATAGAATTAGAATTAAAAATTAGATCAATTTATCAAATAAATATTTATTCTTTTACCAGACTCCTTCTGTCTAAAAACTGTTGACAATTGTATCATATGGTTTATACATTTAGTCCATGAGTTTGATTCATAACAAAATTTAATATTACAATCTTTAGAAACTGGCAGTAGTTGGAAAAAATCACCTGTGACTATTAACTAATAAATAAAATATACAAATATATTTGTGTAAACATTATAAAAAAAACACCTCAAAAAATCATTAATCATTAAATATCAATCAATATTATAGCATACTAATATTCCACCAAATAGCCTATGATTATTGCGAATAGCTTGTGCAATTGTATCCAGTTTATCAAATAAGCCCCCATCAAGCATTGAGACTATATATAAATTATAAAATAATTAAATAAATAATAAATAATCAAATAATGATTATTATTATTTTCAATGAATTAGGTAAAAAAAAAAAATTATACCTTCATCAATAACCAATGCTTTAATAGATTTCCATTGGAGATAATGGATTTTTGATTTTTTAATTTTTTCAATAAGCTTTTCTGTTGATTCAGTTCCTAGCCCTATTCCTGCAAATGAGTGTAAAGTTGTACCAGAAATGTTAACTGCTGCTATGCCAGTCATAGCAGTTACAGCAACCTTTTCAGTTCCATAAATTTTTTTAAGAGCAACTATAATTTTTAACAGGACATGACTTTTACCGGTTCCTGCTGAACCAGTGAAAAATAAATTTTCATGTTTATTAACAGCTATGTCATAAACTAATTGCTGTTTTATTGACAAAGCCTCTTGTTCTTGTTTCTGTTGTTGTTGCTCTTGTTGTTGTTGTTGTTGTTGCTGCTGCTGCTCTTGTTGCTGTTGTTGTTGTTGTTGCTGAGATGATGGTTTTTTATGCAAGTATTTTTCAATCGATACCTGACTGTTCGTGATGACAAGTGGCGGGCGATAACCACCATTCTTTTTAATAACTAACTAGAGTGACGATGAGTGGCGGGCAATAACCACCACCACCATCCTTAAAACACTTCTTCAGCTTCATTTTCTCTTCTTTTTTTATTACTTAGACTTTGATTGTTTGGTATTGTTAAAAAAAAGAAGTTTGTTTAATTGATCGACGCGTACACATTAATTATTTATTATTATTCTATTGGTTGGGATGACAGACGCGAATTGTTTTTTTTTTGGGAAAACAATTTATTTTTTGACAGAGTCCAAGATGACAAAATGCAAATCTTCTAAAGAAGACGTGTTAATAACTAACCAGAGGTACTATTTTTTACTTGTATTGATATTTTTATTTTAGCTTATAAATATTTTAATTGGAAATCAAAAACGCGGAGCAGATCTTGCTGGGTAATTACAAGATTTTCATTGATAATATTTTGCTTTTCGTAATCAATATTAATATTAATATATAATTTAACTACAAGATGTCAAGGCAATACACCATTGAATATGAAACATTTTGATATGTGAAGTTTGATTACAGGAAAATGGCAGGTGTTGAAGCATGCACGCTACCTTGAACACTTACAGCCATTCTCTCATCTTCCTCATGTACACAAGGCTAATCTGACCTGATTGATCGATGATACAATGATGCAATTAAATTTTCTGGGGTATTGCGTGGCTTTGGAGTTTACCGAGACTGCATCAATCGTCAATGACGCTTTCACTAATCTTCCCAGACCAGAGATGGCCGCTGCCATGTTGGATGAAAAGTCACCTGCAACGATCCTACCTCTAGGGCAAGGATAGCTCTATGTCCAAGATGTTGCAACTCTGCTGATGAATATTAAGAGAACCTGGAGCTCGTTTCAAGCACAGGAGGTTGCAATTCAGAGCAGGGTTGGTGGCCCTGAAATTGCATTTGGGCTCTGATGATAAGAGGAAAGTTGTAAAATAGTGTTTGTTTTGTATAATAATTTTCATAAATGCTCAGTTTTTCTGATGCTAACCAATTGATGATTTTGGGTAGGGGACTGGGATGGGTTTTTGCCCAATCAGTCCTCTGTCCTGTAGGTTAAAATTATCACATGATATATACATCTTTGTCAGCAATATGGCCAATGAGAAAAAGTCATAAAATGGTTTGGATTTTGGTATGTTATAAATTAATCATTTTCATAAATGCTCTGTTTTTCTTTAATTTTTATTTGACCAACTGAACTTGTTATTTAAATGGGGTAGGATTGTTGGTGAGTAGGCATGCCATCAAAAAGACAACAACCAGGACTCAAAACTCTGAATTCAGGGAAAAACCAAAACAGCAACCCAGGTTGCAACCTCCCAAGTTGCAGAACTTTTGAACCAGATGCAGGTGCCAACTTTTATGCTAGTGTGGCAATAACTTGCAGCAATCATCACATAATTGTTGATATCCATCAGCAATCAATGCCTATATGGTGACAGCAAGCCTGGTCTGAGGGGAAGATAGGGAAAAGTTTTGTCCAAAGCCTTCCAACATGTTTTCACCTTACCCGTGGAAACAATTCCATGGTTATGAGGCGTGTGAAAGCACGTGTTGACTTGTTTGTGACAGGAAAGTTTTAATTAAATCTGACACCTGCAATCAACATCAGATTTATTATTCATGAGCAACCATAATTGATAATCAGGAAAAGTAATTTATTTTGTGAACCCCAGAGATCTGGGTAGACACATATTGTTAAAGTTTCATTCATGCATGGCCTTGGTATCATTACTACCTGGTGATGGAATTGTTTTGTTATGTCAATGATGATATCAAATGTATTGAATAATAATCATGACTATCATTTTAGTTAAATCTGTCACCTGCAATCAACATCAGATTTATTATTCATAATGAACCATACAATGGAAGGAAATATTTTTTTTGATCCTCCCTATTTATTTATTCTTGTGAATCCCAGAGATCTGGGTAGAGACACATTATTAAAAGTTTCATTTCTGTATGGCCTTGGTATCATTACTACCTGGGTGATGCAATTGTTTGTTATGTCAATGATGATATCAAATGTATCACATAATAATCATGACCACCATGAATATTCGATGGATGGAGGCATTCACATACAAGGAAATGAAAGAAATGATTAAATAGCTAAGTCATGTTTGTTTTGTTAAAGACATATGATTAATTATATTTAAAATATACAATAAAAAAATTGCAAGACTGCACCACTATGTCAATCAAGCTATCAAGCTGTTATGTTTGTGCATGATTTAAAATTCTTTTGTGGTCCCATCTTTTGCTTATATATAATCTATTGGTTCTCTTTTTACTGGTCAAATGATGCCAAATTGGGTAATGGGGTAACAGCAAATATTATAAAAATTTCTATATCAATTTAATTTAATTATTCTAATTTATTATACATGCATGTAGATGTTTACTCTAATGGTTGAGTAATGGTAATTTGTATGCACAAAGAACAATCTGAACTTTTAAATGAAATCAAGTATATTGAAATAGATTCATCTTTCAAGAGAATTAATATGACAATAAATGGTTACTCTATCAAAGAATTTGAAATTTGTTCATTTGTTGAAAGATATCAGAAAAATAAGATTATTTATTTAATGTAATTAAATGACATAATTGAATTTATCAATATTATTATTTTATATTAAAAGCCTTAACATTTGTAAGAGTTTTTTTGAATATTGAAACAAAAGAGGCATATAAATGTATGTTCAAGAAATATTTAATATAATTGAATATGACACAGGAAAAACATTTAAATTTCATCATATTGATGGAGAAGGGCTAAGTTGTATATTGGCTGATGAGCATCAAGGACAAGCATTAGGTATTATCTTCTCATTATATAATTGTATATGGATTTTTTAAACCCTTTATAATCAATTAATATTTTAATGCAACAATCTAGGATTAGGTGAATTTTTACATAATAGAGATCCAACCAAATCTGTAGAAAATCATTTAAAATGTATACTAAAAACCTGCATAGTACATTTCAACAGGTATTGAATGATTGTTTATTATCCCTTAAACGTACAGGGATTTTTGGTCCAAATTTGTGTAGATCTTCCGAGTAAATTCAATCCCTCTTTAA